ACTACTTATTCGTTCGTAAATTTTGATGTAACGGTGATGGTATGGAAATAGTTTTTACTTGTAAAAGCATCTATATAACTTATCCAACGTTTTTGTGGTTTACTTTGGCAAATTTCGTTGTTCTTCGAATTACTCTCCGTGCACACATTATACTTAGCTAGTCGGCAACAATCCCCTTTAGTTATGTCAAACTAACGTCTCCCTCTTAGGTGCTATTTGCAATGCTAACCAGTAGAGTTATTACCACAGAAGCGCTGGAACTCGACAGACTTAATCCTTTAAGACAAAAAGTAAAACGTGCATTTAATTAACTAAAATAGATAAATCTTAGTTTGTCGATCGAAAAACGAGTTGTCTCAGATCGATCAGAAAATGTGACTTTCCAGGAGATAATCTATCACAAAAATTTCTGTCAAGTCATTTTTCGATCGGCCAGCCAGCCCTTTATACTACATAATTAAAGATTACACAACACCAAATTCTAGCCATTATTTGAAACAGCTCGCAAGCTTACAATTAGAATTCATGAAGGCAACTGCAAGTTAATCACTGATGAACAGTAGCCTTCTAGGTAAAATAAAATGTCTACGCTCCATTAGGGGAGTCCAAATTAAAATATAAATATATCTTTTTGACCCTTAAAGTCACGGTAATGGATTGAATACGCAACAGAATTTCTTGGGCATTCGGTTCAAGTACAGGATGGTTTTACGAGCGTGTTTCCTTAAAAATCTGGTACTCCTTTGAAGAAGACGAATTACGTCTTAATTTATAATTGACCCTAATTTTAAACACGGGGAGTGAAATTTCCGTTCAGTTATTTATCCACGCGGTCGGTAATTTGCAATTTATTCCTTGTTTTTTATTTAACTGAAACGGAGCATTCGATTTATTTGTATAAGAAACATCCACTTGCGAGTCAAATTGGCGCGATGATTTACAATCGCTCCATGCTGGCCTGCGTCGAAATATTCACCCCGCTATCACTTTGCGCCCTCTCTATTTACTTCATTTGGCTGCACACGTATCTCGTACTGTTTAACTCAATTGCCGTTCTTTTTGAGGATGTACACCTTCTTTTCTGTAGGTAGATGCACCGTGATTTATTGTTGAACTCCTTATACCCCGAACAAACTCTCCCGCCTTAAATCCCGCTTTTCCAATTTTTACAAACACGCCTGCAACTAAGCCAAGTAGTGTTGGTGAACATTAATGTTGGCTGGTCTTCCAAATAAGTATCAACCAATGATTATGGGTATAGAAATTGCCGGGGACAATGTCAAGACAAAGTTACTTGAGCAAGCAATTGCATTTGTTGAGAAACCAAGGTCTGGTGACTAGTGAAGTGTTATAGAGGTCGCGAATTCGGACATTGAATTGTCCTAAGAAGAAGCTCGACAAGAAGAAAACTGAGGGCACGAACGTGTTTTGTACTATATTGGCGTTGTAGTGTCCTGAAAAAATATGGATTTTTGATTCTGGCGACTTCGCACATGTGCAGGGACCTTAATGCTTTAGAGATTGTTCAGGAATGTTCCAGTTTTGAAATTAAGACATAAAATAACTATACAATGAAAGGTCAATTTGGCTTGGTAGAAAGGATGAACAGGACCCTAATAAAGAGGCAATATGCATACTGATTTATTGTAATCTAGGGAATAAGTATTTGGCCCAACTTGTAAATTTCTGCGTTGGATTTGGTGAACTGTTTACCATGTAAAGGATTGAAAAGAAAAGCACTGGAAGAAGTTTGGTCGGATCTTTGGGAATATAATTTCGCTTGTGTTTTAGGTAAAAGAACTTAGTTCCAACCATAACAAACGAAAATTAGTTTCATATCAAAATATTTACTTGTGGCTGTTTTTTCGCAAAACTCATTATCCAGTGTAGAAAAAAATGCCGTTATCCTGAAATTACATAAAGTTATATTTTCGGTTACTTTTACTCTCATAGTTACAATGTGAAACTAACATGCGTCTCGCAACACTGTTGACTGCTAACTAAATGAACGTATTCAAACTTTGCTGTTCTAAACGGAGAAAATGATCATTATTTAACACTTTACAGGGAGAATAGCGGCTTAAGAAAAACTTTAATTCAATTTCTCCACTTCTCTATCGTCAAAAGCAGCATGACTGTGTTGTATTGTTCTATTATGCCGCTACAATAAAATGGATTACCTAGGATTTATATAGGTACCTACCGTTTCTAGCAGATTTATCCACGCTGAACAGTTAAAAACAAAACTTAGGTTATTTTTAGCGTTCGCGTGTAAGATCTAACAGTTTTCCAGTTTTCCATTGAAATATTATTTAGAAGTAAAGGATAATCCTGAATAAATTGCAACTACCGCATTTGAAAAACTTCATGTTAACAGATAGACTTTAAACTGCAAAATTGGTAAGAGATTGTGCGTAAAATGCTGCCTAAAAATACTGTACATTTTGCTGTATCTGTACTAAAATACCGGTTGAGTTTTTTTTTCACTTCCATTGCAGTGAACACGATGACCGTAAGAGATACAAAGTCGGTTAAATGGGTAACGTTGTGCTGATTAATTAACCTAGTCATAATTTCTTGTAGCTAGACAAATAGCGAAATTATGGCTAAAAACGGAAAAATGTCATTTTCGAAATACGCTGGTGATAATTTATTTTCAAAAAATATCTTTAACAAACCCGTAGTGATTTTTTCTTAGCTGTCTTGTGGTACTAAAGTAAAAACTTGTGGAATTGAAGTAAATGACATCAACATTCTTATTTATTATGGACGCCATATTGGATTTTGATATCACTCGGTAGAGACAAAAATTGCAAAATCGACGATACCAAATACTTAGTATTTTATTTGGAAATTAATTTTGAATTTTTCCTTTGAAGTTTACAATGTATCCCTTATTGCAATAATTCTATAGCCGATTGTAATTGAAACCGAATTTTCATTCGTGTATTATCTAGCATAGTCGCCGTCAACACGGCCATGATCCGTCATTAAAGGCCAATTCACAGTATCGGTTAGATCACGGTCCGCTCAATTATTGTAGCTTGTATTTCTTATGAGCATGTTCTGACCGTGACCTGACCGTCAAATGTAAATATTTCTATTGAAATAGCATGTTACAATATTTTGAGCGGAACGTGACCTGAGCTATAGTGTGAATTGGCCTTAACTTTATTTTTTGTATATGACCCGTAAGAAAAGTACATACTGAGTACCGTTTTTTATTACCTACTAATAAAACGATGTAGGTACTGCACACACAATAAGAAACAAAAGTTGGAAACAGGATGGTGCACCCGCGCACAACGCCTAAGGGCCGATTCTACAATGAAGGTGTAGCGTTTTATTACAAAATACAGGAAAAGGAACTATTTTTTATTTTGAAATATCAACAGAATGCCAATTATTAATTATTAAATTTTTATCACCTAGACAACCACCTATCTTGTTTTTCCAGGATCTATCGATTTGCGTTAATGGTCGCCACAAAGGTATATACCGAGAATAAGCTATACCTAGAATAAGTTGACGGTTGCGTTGGTTACCATTGTGTCAACCAATGGCATACATGTTGCTATGGCAGTTATTCCAAGAATATCTTATTCTCCGTAAAAGTGTAATTGTAAAACCGGCCCTTAGGGCCGGTATTTCCATCTTCGGATAAAGTAGTAGATCCGTACCTGCAAAATAACTTATACCGCCCGATATCTTCCGTTTATCTATCTGCGGGTATTTCCATCAGCGTGCGGTATAAATATATCGCGTAGATAGCTACCTAACCTTAGCCAATGTTGCCGATTTTAGAAGTCTGTAATAGAAAAAGATAGCGAACGGCAGGGCCATATAATAGAGCAAGATAGCTTACTACCTGACAATTTGAACGAATGCTTTTGTTTTGGAAAGAAATTCAGTGACTTGTAATATACTTTTTTAGGCTATCAACACAAAAACGTTGATTTTGTGGACGCTTTTGCGGCCATAAAGTTTAACTTTATTGTACGCTTCTGTCAAACTTTACTTTATTGTACACATCTGTCAAACTGTACCTACTTATTTGAAACTGATGTGTGAGAAACAGTAATCTGTTTAATACAAAGCGTCTATCTGGTCTAGCCCCATCAAGGATTGGGCCATCCACGTGCGTTTTTTTCATTTTCGGACTTGTATGAATGTTTCACACTATTTTGCATAATCACAATGTTCACATTTAAAATTATAGTTTGACGTTTCAATCTTTGCTGCTTGCAGACCTTTTTGAAGTGTAGAACCAAAACATGAGGAAGATGTTATTGCTTACATTATTATGCGAAGAATCACCAGCAATTAACCGAGAACACAAGTAGCTACCTATACCTGCCATCAAAGTAGGTAATCAGGTTTCTAATAATTGTACAGCATGTTAACTATAAGGTCTTGGAAGCCACAGTTACGAAGGACCTATTGCATTTGACATTATTAAAATCTTGTGCAATGGAGGAAGTTGCGATTGTACTTTTACTCTCAAACGCCAGCTCTTATATCATATATGGCTTAGGTTCGCAAGCTTGCAGCTTCCAAAATTTCATCCTGAACTGTCGCTATCACCCATTTTGATACGCACAAAACACACGCAAAGATGCTAATTATAATTTATTACATATGACAGGAATTGCTTTGTTTTTAATTGTCTAAGATAACTATGATTTTCAGAAAAAATATGTTTATGAGCAAATTTTTGAATTCTTTTTTGATGATCGCCTAAAAAATGTTGTGTGCACCTTGGCCAAAAGTGATTTGTTAGGCCTCATCTGAATTGCGGCCTCGGCTACCGCCTCGGCCACAAACAGCAGCTTCGGCCAAAAAAGATCACTTTTACGGCCTTGGTACACAAATAACTATTTGTGTCTCCCTGCTTCAAAGCTTTGTTTTCTGTAGCCAAATTAGTCCAGAAAGTTACGATTTGCTGGCCTAGGCCGGCAAAAATATCACTAAAAATTGGTTGGTGGAACTGATTTAATTTGCAATGACAGTTCTAAATTTAAATTAAATTGTAAGAATGATAGGCATATTTTTTGTGCAAATTCCATTTTAAGCACTTTATGGCTTGGTAGGTAACATAGTAATACGTATATGTAAATGCGGTAGGTAAGTATACCCTAATCAAGAATTGTAAGTTTCACTTACAAGTTTTCGTTTAGTGCGGTTATGACACTTGTACATGTTTACCGATGGTAAACTTACGGTTTATGGCAAAAAACAGAGAGCTAATTGAAAGTATAGGAAATTGAAGTTTACCTACTTCCACACTCGATGCCAGGAATGCCAACAAATGGTTTCGCATGTAAATTAACGCAGTCAAAAAACAACACTAAACGGATGAAGAGTAACGACACTATATGTTTTGTAATTATTATTATTTCTGCCATTGTTAACATTAAACTGTATACATTATTCCATAAATTATATATCTACAAGCAAGTATATTTCTCTGAAGATGACAGTTTCCGAAAAGGAGGTGTACGCATATGAAAACGGTCTTCTTGTCGATATCTATGCTCATATCTATGATGAAAATTTCCGACATCAGTTACTTCCGTGTAGTAAGACCATAATAATCAAACGACACTGCATACACCAAATTGTAGATTTGCACGAAGCAATCATCGGACCTCTTGCTGCTCTCCTCGTAATCGACAGCCAACGAGAAGTAGATATCCAAACAAACTTGTTATCATTCTTATATGTAATGGAATTAATATGATAAATCAATTTGCAAATGAAAACATTGCAACCCAATTCTCAAAATAGGTGTAAGCCGTAAGCACTAGCTGAAATTGAAATAAATTTCAAGGTTATGTTTCCCATTGAAATCAACTTACTACTTATTAGTTTTAGCGCAGCTTCTTTTAAATGTTATGAACTTCTTAAGACTGGGCTAAGCGTTTTAGAAATTTGTAATAATAATTAAATTAACGTAAATGCTTTGTTTATTCATTTAATCACAATTAATGTGGAATAAACACTGGTAAATATCGGTTGTGAATTGACATGCTTGTGCTACCAACTGCCAACTGTCTGTGCTACCAACATAACATCGAAATATTGGAAATTTGAATGCAAGTATGACGGCTTATTATAGGAGGTAGAAATATAAATTTTAAAATGAACGTTGTTCCCTCAAATTTTTTACTTCGACACAAAAAATCTTGTGTATTACACGTCCATAATAGTTATTTGTGTACCAAGGCCGTAAAAGTGATCTTTTTTGGCCGAAGCTGCTGTTTGCGGCCGAGGCGGCAGCCGAGGCCGCAATTCAGATGAGGCCTAACAAATCACTTTTGGCCAAGGTGCACACAACATTTTTTAGGCGATCATCAAAAAAGAATTCAAAAATTTGCTCATAAACATATTTTTTCTGAAAATCATAGATATCTTAGACTATTAAAAACAAAGCATTTCCTGTCGTATGTAATTATAATTAGCATGCGTGTGCTTTGTGCATATCAAAATGAGTGATAGCGACAGTTCAGATACCCCAAATGAAATTTTGGAAGCTGCAAGCGTTGCGACCTAAGTCATATGATATAAGAGCAGGCGTTTGAGAGTAAAAGTACAATCGCAACTTCCTCCGTTGCACAAGATTTTAATAATGTCAAATGCAATAGGTCCTTCGTAACTGTGGCCCCCAAGACCTTATAGTTAACATGCTGTACAATTATTAGAAATCTGATTACCTACTTTGATGGTAGGTATAGGTAATTCTCGGTTAATTGCTGGTGATTCTTCGTATAATAATGTAAGCATAATAACATCTTCCTCTTGTTTTGGTTCTACACTTCAAAAAGGTCTGCAAGCAGCAAAGATTGAAACGTCAAACTATAATTTTAAATGTGAACATTGTGATTATGCAAAATAGTGTGAAACATTCCTACAAATCCGAAAATGAAAAAAACGCAAATGGATGGCCCAATCCTTGATGGGGCGAGACCAGATAGACGCTTTGTATCAAACAGATTACTGTTTCTCACACATCAGTTTCAAATAAGTACAGTTTGACAGATGTGTACAATAAAGTAAAGATTGACAGAAGCGTACAATAAAGTGAAACTTTATGGCCGCAAAAGCGACCACAAAATCAACGTTTTTGTGATGATAGCCTAAAAAAATGTTTTGCGAGTATTCGTATTGCAGGCCTCAGCTCCGCTTCGGCCTGCAACCTTAAGCCGGCTACACACGATCCGGCAGGCCTGTCAGTTCGAACTGAACAGTCCGCCTGAAGACCGGTCGCCTGATGGACTGGCCACCTTCCACACGTTCAGGCGAATATGAAATATCAGTCTCAATCATGGCCTCTACTGACGACGACGCGTTAGCACTCCTCGGCTTAGTAGTTGCTTTGGGTAAAAAGAAATCCAAAAAAACGTACGGTATGGTGTAAAGATTGGTTGAAAAAAAGGAGCGTTTTTTCTCATGTGAATTTGCTGAATGACCTGAAGTTAGCTCCCAAGGATTGGCACAATTATCTACGCATGGATGAAGATACGTATCTGCAACTTTTATCATTGGTAGCACCTTTGATAAAAAGAAAAGACAATGTAATGAGAGAAGCAATCCCAGCACACGAAAGGCTGACGGCAACTTTGAGGTTTCTAGCTACTGGAAGAACCTATGAGGACCTCAAGTTTTCCACTATTATATCACCTCAAGCTCTGAGTTACATTATTCCTGAAACTTGTGAAGCAATATGGGAAGTTCTACACAAGGATTTTATGAAGGTAAGAACAATTTTTTTTTAATATTAAACATACATATAAACAAAAACATTATAAATTTCTTGAACATTAAGCATATAAACAAAAACATTATATTTCTTCCATAGAAAATACAAAAACAAGTTCAGTTATCAGTTGTTATCAGCATAAGTGAATGAAGCTAAAAGAGAACTAGCAGTCTGGTACTGGCGAGATGATGCCGACGGTTCCATTTCTTGAACACTTTCTGACTGGGAAAAAAACATGTTATTCTGGGAGTGGTGTTCAATTGAAGCTTCGGAGTTCTGGAGTAGCAACTGCTGCGATGGTGGTGTTGGTGATATTGCGGATAATTGAGAACTTGGGCGGCTAGGATTGGAACTAGATGAATGATTCGAATAATATTCATTTGACGAAGGGGAGTTTAGTAGTAGCAACTGCTGCGGTGGTGCTGGTGTTGCGGAGAGTTGAAAGCTTGGCCGGCTAGAATAGGTACTGGACGAATGATAACGATTAGACAAAGGTGGCTGATAAGCCAGTTTATGATGTGGTGTTAATGTTCCACCCTCAGCTTCAAAAAGTACGTCATTAATAAATTTCTCTGCAAGGCGTCTCTGATCGTTGGTTAAATCTCTGAGTTTCATAGCAACGTTTTTACCAAAAATGTCAAACCGGTCATCCGCTGTGCGTGGCCGTTTGAAGTGGTTGTTGACGGTTGCTAGTACTTCTTTTGTTAACTGTGTTTGGTCATCTGCTTTTTGAGATTTTGGTGTCGGTCTATGGCGAAACTGCGAACCTGAAGCCACACTTGAAGTTTTTTCAGTAGAATCTTGGGTTTCAGGTTCAATTTGAGAGCTGTGTGCATTTGTGTTTAAAGTTTCGGCCTGTGATTTATCCTGTAACAAAAGATTTTTTGAACAGTTTGGTTAGTTTTTTTTTGTGTGTGGAAATATCTATGGTTTTTATAACTGTATTACTTAATCGTATTTCATAAATTGAAAGCATGAAAAAAAAATGAAAAAAATACACAATTTATCGCCAGACATTCTTCATGCATATTTTTATCATGCATAATGCATAATATTGTCTTTTTTTCAGTTTCCACGACTAGAACAAGACTGGAGAAACATTTCTCAGAGATTTCAGGAACTCTGGAACTTTCCCCATTGCCTTGGGGCCATTGACGGCAAGCATGTGAGCATCATCCCCCCATCTGGAAGCGGATCGTACTATTATAATTATAAAGGTTTTAATAGCATGGTGCTATTAGCCTTAGTTGATGCAAACTATCGTATTTTAATGTGCGATTTCGGAACAAATGGCAGGGTGTCTGATGGTGGTGTATTACAAAATACCAAATTTTTTGAAAAACTACAAAATAATCTCCTGAATATTCCTGGAGAAGAAACTATCCGGAATACCGACAGAAGCCTACCATATGTATTCATAGGAGATGATGCATTTCCATTGAGGGTAGACCTAATGAAACCTTTTCGACAGGCAGCCTTGACTTCTAGGGAGAAAAAAATTTACAACTACCGTTTATCACGAGCTAGACGTATTGTGGAAAATGTATTCGGAATATTGGCTGCCAGATTTCGGATATTTCACACTTGCATTAATTTAGAACCGCGAAATATTGAATCCGTTGTAATGGCATGCTGCATGTTACATAACTTTTTGATAGTTAAGTCATCAACAACATATATTCCTCCAGAGTGCTTAGACTATGATGATACGGAAGAAGGTGTGACATATTTTGGATTGAATTCACAAGGTTCTAATATGGCTAGCTTGCAACGAAGACCATTTGGAAATACAACGAATGCAGCAAAAGAAGTTAGGGAGGCCTTTATGAGTTATTTTACGAATGAGGGTAGAGTTTCTTGGCAAGATAGATTCATCCAATAAAAACTTACCTACTAATAATACTATTTTATAGGGTGGTCCAAATTGGTCGCTCTCTTATGGGAACACCCCTGTTTGCCCCTCAGGCACTGTGGTACATTTGTTCCTATCTCTTCAAATAAAGAGTGTTCCCATAAAAGAGCGTCCAATTTAAACCACCCTAGAAATATACACAAAAAAATGTGTGTTTATTCAATAAATAAACAAACAAAACTACTGAATGTTTCTGTCACTTACCTCATTTTCGCTTTCTTCGTCATCCGAGATATTGCTTCGAGAGTTTCGAGAGACTTCTTGGTCTTCCACAAAGTTCAACGAATCATAATACCAAAGTTTGGGATGGTAAACTTCATCGGCCCCTGATCCCGTCCTCATTGAATCCTTCACTTTTTTTGCTTCTTTTCGAAAACTACTCCTCAAATTATTAATTTTTTTTAAAACAGTAGACTTCGTACAAGAAGGATCAATTTCCTTCAATTTTTCTATTAATTTTAAATACGCCGCTTCTTTCTTGCCACGGTCGTGATAGTCTTTCGATTTTACTTGCCATAGACACGACTCATTGCGATAAATCGCGATAAATTCTTCTAAACACGTGTTTTCTCTTGCTCGCGACATGATAACGACTTCTGTACTCTGGTTCTGTACTACTGAACTGTTTCACTTGACAGCCTGACGTCTCAACAGGCGGCCGTGCCATACACACGTTCAGGCTTGTCTTTGAGTACGTCAGGCCGGACGGATAACGAACATATATTTGATCTTTCTCCGGCCGCCTGAACAGTCTTAACTGATAAGTTGACCGGAATATATACACGCTCAGGCGACCGGACTCCAGGCGGACTGTTCAGTTCGAACTGACAGGTCTGCCGGATCGTGTGTAGCCGGCTGTACTCACACTCGCAAACATCCATTTTCTGGACTTGTGATACAAATAACTATGTCAAACGTACATGAACCAAAATCGTGATGTAAATGCACCGCGTAGAAAGAAAAGAACTGCTAATTTCAGCACATCTGAAAATCGTGTGCTTGTGTCAAGAAAATCTTGATCCATCTGGAATCTAAAATAGGTTACCTATCCTTCAAGAAAACATATATGTATTTGCGTAGGTACTTCTACTTATATACTTCAATTTCTTTCTTCCTATTTAGTATAGGTACGGTTGGTAATTTTGCAAATTTTTAAAACGTCACCAGTTTACTAGAAATTTGACGCAATATCCTGGGGTTATGTTGATAACTGCAGAAAATCTACCCAATAACTTTATCTAGAACTTATCCTGCCGATAATATTTAAACGAGGTTCGAAATACCCGAAGCGACGCTAACTGTCGGTTTACCTGGAAGATATCTTATACTTGACTTTATCCCGAGATGGAAATACCGGCCCTTAATCGTACGGGAATATCTATCGGATAAATTTCCTGGAAAATGAAAATGTTGTTATACTTAGTCAGGGAGATCTGAAAAGTGCATGTCTAACGGCGTTTTATGCTACAAACCGGCAACAAGCGGTTCTAGACTAATTCGGCCCCACTGAAAACGATGCGCCCTGTTGCCAAACCACATTTTGGCATTTAAGCCCCTAAATTCAAGATGGCGGCTGAAATTGCCGTTTTTCGGTTATTTCGAGCCCCCAAAGCACGTCGCTGAACGTTTTGCGTAACCAACCTTGTGTATATGCATTTACTATCTATCTTTGTTAATATTTTGTTAATTAACTTTTGGACTGTTTTAATCAAACTGTAAGGTTTTTCTTCGTCGTACTCTTTTTACCCTTGGCAGTTACTTTTGGGAGAGTACGACTCCTTTAGGCTTTGCTTGCTTTGTTTACATTAACGTACATCAATTAAATTTCCGGGTTTTCACAATCATAATAATTACGATCATTATTAAACAAACTTTTCACATTTCAGTGTTTTATTTAACGTTCCTTCCCTATTGTGCTTCAGGTCAAAGCGTTGTCTACAACTAACGTGCCACTTTTCAAATTTAAGCGGGATCTTGTTTAGTTTTAGAGGGAGTCATTCGGGTGGCAATTTTTAAACGTTGCCGGGTTTACTTTATTTCCGTGTTCTTGTAGTGTGAAGTAGAACCTGGGGGGTTAAGTACACTACAATATTAAGGGCCCAAATGCTAAAAAACGTCAAAAATGCAAAACGCGTCATTTTTCGTCGTTTTTTTGTTTGTGGTGTGTTGGCGTAGAATATTTATTTCTATGGTAAAGTTAACATTTAAATATTTGGGGATCCTCCGCAGAGTCATATGCCTGAGGCCTAAATGCCAATATGGCGCTTAGAAAATCCAAAACCAGTGAAAAAGTTGTTCTTATTTTGCTGTATTTTTACTACACTGGCCTCCCATTCCCCATTTCGGTGGCCCAGAGCAATAATGTGCAAAATAATTGAAACTACAAATCCGGATGTTACACACCTGAAGGGCGCGGGGAGCCGTCTCCTATAACTGTTAACTATGTAACTAAGAGGCAGAAGTTGGTTTGGAGGCGTAATTTCAGGGCATTGGGTAAGTAAAAATATATGAAAACATACTTCCTAAGTTTCCTTTGATTTTTTAATTAAAACCTAACTCTTGGCAGTCCAAACTGTCTAGAATATTGAACACTAATATTATGTAAAATGAAAATCTTTATGGAAATGATTCTGCGTTTGAAACCATACTCCCTTTTTTCGGAGCTTGTTCGCGTTGCACTGAAGTTAAGAAGAAGTGGTACAAATGGCTTTAACGTGATGGCGAAGGGCAAGTTGGGAGTCTTATTGAACGTATACTCCGACCAAGGGCGGAATTTTGAGTCATTATTATTCCAGAATATGTGCATCCGAAAAACTAGGACGACAGCCCTCCATCCACAATCTGATGGAATGGTGGAGAGATCATCATCGTGATCAATCGGTAAAGATCGTACGTGCACTATATTATGACTTTCCCTTTGTTGGTTGGCTATAATGAGGGTTAACAGTGCTCAAAGATTCGGGAGCTGAGTCGTGGATCTTGTACTGAGTGTTGTTTGAAGGGGGCGCCAACCTGTCTTAAACCAACTTGCCCAATGACAGGTAATCGGACAAGCTCATAACGTAATGCAAAAATCGATCCTATTATTAATTTATTTAAACAGGTAATTGACTCGGTAGGTAAGTATAACTTGACGATGATATCGATAACGTAATTTTTGTGTTTCAGATGAATGATCATTCAACGGACTTCAATATTGGACTGATAACTCTAAATAACAATTGACAATTTAAGGACAGCACAACATTATCAATTAATTCTAGGATGGACAATTAATAATAGACAAATATGCTTAATTTAAACAAATAAACTTGACATCTCCTTTCAAATTTTGTTATCTCAAACCTCAGAGCATTGTGTGAACCATTATCCACATGGACAGCACGTACATACAGGTGGACGGTGGGATGGCGGCTTATCACCATAGAATTAAAATCTTATCATCAGGAACAGCGCTTGGTATTCCGCAGTTACTTGTGCAGGTAATAAATTTGCGTCCCACGTGACGTCAGGGGCGGCTACTATATATTTTTTCCAATTTCCAGTACTTAGGGGTAAGAGCCCTAAAAGGTAACGCGTACGCTAATATGACGAATATTCCAAATTAATAGCTTACTTAAGGTGACAAACGGCTCTTGAAAGAATTTTAGACAACCATTGAAATGTAGATTAAGTTATTGCCTAATTAGGTTTGTACCGGAATAATTGCACGTAGTATAGGTAGGTAACCAAAATCCTAAAATTATTTACTGTCAATAAATTTATTTTACATTCAGTAACTCACGCGTTATTCTCGCTACCCAGCCCCACTGACTTAAATAAGTCTCGAATCACAACGTAAATTATTATGTCCGTGGGAACGTTTCTTTTTCCACGACCGCCACTCGCCCCTTTTCTTGGTCCCGCTCAAAAATCCCTCCCATCACAAGTTGTGTATACACGCATGCGCTCCCACATCAGACACAGTGTCCTCCATCGGCCACACCACCCAACCGTTCCCGCCTCATTCAAAAAAGAATAAATTGTTCATAAACATAATCCACAATTTCTGCAAATTTAGAACGCTACAATATCAAAAGTCATCTTTTGAAGATCTTATAGTATTCCACTGGCAGGAAGGTTCGTAAATGCATTGTACGCGATTAAAGATGTTATAGAGTCAAGCTTCAAGACTGTTGACTGCTTCTTCTGTGCCAAGGGGATATGAACCCAAGGCGATGATTGTCGGTTCTGCCACAGAAGAACAATAATCCAGAATACTCTTGAATTTAGAAAACAATGTGAAAGGATTCTAGGAGGCACTACAATCTTAACGAAGGGGCTGTGTTCCGAAATTGCAGTATATAATATATTGACAAAGAGAGGCCGTCATATTTTTTAAAGGAATGGACATACATAAATTTTGTTCATCGTTAATTATAACTTTTATTACAAATAAAATAAAATAAGGTACCTATTAAGTAAATAAACGTTTGTAACTAGTTCGTTACAATACATTAAAATGTGTTCAAAGTATCACCTGAACATAATTACAGTCAAATATAATTTAGTATCACGTTCGTTAATAATTTCATTAAAAAATACCGCCTAATTAAGAAACAACTATAATTTGACATGTAAATGAAATTTTACTATAAAGTAAACCCTATATCTTCCAGCTAACACGAAAATTTATTACTAGGGTGTATCCTGTATCTCCGCATCTATTGCGTGTTTATGGACTACTGATTTTAAAGTTTACGGACAGTATGCGCTAGAACTAAATTTGTATGGCGGTAAATAGTGAACAAACATGGAATTGAAGATAAAAATAATAAATAATCGTGATTTATTGCTTCAGTTCTCCGTACCTTTGAAAGTGCACGCGTTAACGTGCCTCAATATTTACGAGAACTTAGTCGTAGTTCGTGGCAATATTGTGACTACGCCAGCAGAATCCCTTGCGACCAGCGTGAATAATTGAAGTTATTAGCCGAATGCTGTGACGTTAACACCACGTTACATACGGGCAATGAAAAGTGGAGTCATTTCTCTAGTATGGCTTTCGCGACTTTTATGTCAATTGTGATGTGTATTTTTGCCCTAGTCCCTTTTCTTCTACCTAGTTATTATATTACTGGCACTGAAGCATGAGTTTAACGTTAAAGCTTCCAAATTTGGAAGTAACACTATCGTCTATAATTACCTCGTAACCTTCCAACAATTGTAATTTGTCGACATACAGCACGGTTAATTAATTAACTAGTGTACATTTTCGAATTTCCCCTAGGTCTACTACAACACCGATTAGGTATGTTGGCGATGAAACGTGTTACTTTACTAATTCATTGTAACCGATTTCAAACACCTCATTTTGTACACTGTGAGAAAATGTTCTATTTCTTTGGCCTAATATGTCTTTAATAAATTTTTAGGTTATAGTAACCGCGGTCCGTGACGATTAGAAATGGCGCAAGGTATAGCCATTTAATAGGTTCATGGAGTTAGCACGGTCACTGGAAGCACTAACGACGGGACCGGCGCCAATCGTTAGTGCCTTTTAGTGCTTTATACCTTGCATCAGCCCGACCAGCCGTTTTCGAGAAAATAACACCCCATCGAACCACTAACGACGATAATAAATAAATAATAATTTTTTCACTCAGCACATTTCCAATGTGTTTGTTTACATATTAAGATTGCTACAACATGTATTTCACTCGGAAAACAGTCAGGCGAAGGTTGACCTTATGTGAGAGCTTAGATTACGAGGGGAACAGCCGAGTTTAGTGCAGAAGGTATGGTCGGTCATTGACAAAAGTAATGATCGTCTAATTTTTAATAGATAAACTCTACAGCATAAACAACCAGCATGCCTATCACATAGGGCTCCGTCGGTTTCTTCAAAGAGATCTTAATTTGTTGGTTCGTATTGTGATAATCCAACACACCGTTACATCTGAAACTAAATATACAACACGCTCTGTAGACATCAATCCTGCTTTGTTTTCGATATCGACCGTTCTGCGCAGATGCCGAAGACTAGGGTCGGTACAAACAAAACAAACAAAAGTCACCTCAATTCATTTACATCAATTTTAGATACTTTTTACGTCATCTGTACGTTTTTTCTGTAAATTCGTTATAGTTGGTATCGATTTCACTTCGCATACTTTTCATACGCTCACTTGTGTAGGGTCGGTTCGTAAATCTGTACGTTTTTTCTGTAAATATAGTTGGTATCGATTTCACTTCGCAGCCCCTTATTCTGCTAATAGAGGTCATGCTGATCTTGTTACTTGTAGAAGATCGTAAGCTGTTGTTGCATTGGACCTTGGAAAACATGTCATTTTTTACTTTGACAATTTCGTCTACCTTCTAAAGGTTTCATTGGCGGTTGTGATATTTGTTTAATATTCTTTCGTGTAGTATTGTTTTGCTTCATTGAACACGCATTTTACGAAAATATTTACAAGTAATAAGGCTTAGGGTAATGTTTTAAGGTTGCGAAATATTTCGATTAACATCGAATTTCATGCCTGTTTCTTCTTTGTGATTTATTTTCTATCTAAACATTATGAATATTACGATCTACATCGGTATCGTTTGTAAAATATCACAACAGCAAAAATCCGCCGAAACGCCCAACGCTCATATCTGAACATGAAACGACCCCAAAATAGCGAAATTACTATCTTCATGCGAGATCAAATACCAAACCTCGAACATTTAGACCACTTCGAACCCGAAGTAATCTCTAAATGCTATATAGTCGCGAAAGTGACATTTGAACCCGTGACACTAAGCACAAAGAATCCCACAAACGTTTATTTTATAGACTTGCTCGTAGATTTCCAAGTGGTGTGTATACTTACATTACATGTAGGTGAAGTGTGTAAATAATTTACGTTCTATCATCGCAGTACTCTATTTTCAATCACCCGCAAACAAATTGGCGCCCAACTAGTGATGCTCAAAAAGTCAAGACGTCATCTACCACAAGAAGTCACACCAAGAAAATGATCGGCCGCACTTCGTTCATCATGACCGGCGACATGCTGAAGCAGCTGATCCAATCTCCCGTCTCACCCAAGACGACCAACAGCGGATACTTCGAAAAATGCACCGCCAAGTCGCTTTTATTCCTAGACAATCTCCGAGGAAAACGCACTGACGGGTATTGATTTATTTATTATCCCTCTCTTGTTCTGGGCCCTCAGCAGGCTTTCTCCCAATTACAGAGTGATCCGCATAATGCTTTTTAAAGGTGCCTCTGCACAAGGTCTTAAGTTGTTCCATACTACTCCGGTTTTACCTTACGAATTAAGAAAACTGCAGGAAAACCTAATTTGGCCTAAAGTAATTCCCATCTTTGTAACAGATGAAAAATTCACCTCAACCCAGGTTCGAACACCCGACCTCCGGATTTATAGCCCAATGCTCTACCACTGAACCATAAAGCCGGGCCGCTTCGCCAAACAACAGATCCTCCAAACCGAGTTGTCGCTCATGCTCAACAACGACATCATAAAACAGTGCAAATCCCCATGGGCGTCACCTTTGGTATTGATACTCAAGCCGGACGGATTGGCCGGTTCTATATCAATTACCGGAAGTTAAATGCTGTCACAATCACGGACAGCCACCTTCTGCCACGCATCGAGGATTTCCTCCACGCTCCAGGAGTAATGCCAACTCTCGACCTAATTGACAAGTTTCCGTCAATCTCAAGTGAGCAGACCCGATACCTGGGACACATAATCACGCCCAAGGGCATCAGCACAGACCCAACAAGGACCGCGGCCGTGGTTCAACTCCCGAAACCCAGGAACAAAAAGCAAGCACCTCGTGCAATTCGTACAGACGATTTATGCTAGGCTTCGCGCAGTACGCGAAACCACATACGGCACTGTTAATAAAGAAAGACGCAACATTGGCATGATGCCACTCAAAGCGCTTCTAACCGCCTCGCTCATATTGCGACAAGCTGACCTCCAACTTTCGTTTGTTATCAAAACATACACCAGCCAATACGCCATTGGGGCAATCCTCGACCAAGACGAAAAAGAAGACAAGCGACCAGTCGAGTTTGCGAGCCGCCTCCTCACATTTGCCGAGCGCAATTACTCCAGCACCTACCTTACCAGAGAGGTCCTGGCTGTGGTATAGACACTTGCCAAGTTTTGAGGATACGTGGAAGACAGCCGCATCATCCTCTACACCGACCACCAAGTTCTAACGCTAAAAGTGTAATTAAGAAACAATTATTCCTTCTTTCTATTCCTTATTCTAGAAGCTTGTCATGTGTAAGTAAATTGAATTGTGTTTAGTCTCCGTCTTAACATCGACGTTGAAGCGAAAAATATTAAAATTCGCGCTCGTGCTTAAATTTAAGTGTTATAAATGTGACTACAAGCAAGTGATAAATTTTAATTGTTATTGTTTCAATCTATTTAAGTTAAATGGCGCTTTACATTGAGTTTATCGTTAGTAGTGATAGTTCCTGTAAACATTCATAATTAATTTTATATAAATAAACCTATAAATAAATTACGTATTAAATTTATGTTACAGTATTAATCTACCAGACTAACTCCTGAGGGTGCTTGCTAGAATCATTAAATTAAAAGCGTACCTTCGGGACTTTATGATAATTCAACTGGACTAATTGGTTGGTCAAAAATAACCATACAAACAGTTGTGGCAGTAATTATGTAAATCTAGAGGAGTAAACCTTTGGTTTAATAAATTTTGTCAATAATAACTATGTACGTTCCAGTGAGACCGACTGTAATCCGGCCTAGAGCACGTTGAGATGCGTATTTATTGTAGAATAATTTAAAACAAGTGCGAAAAAATGTTACTTTTGTTTTATAAAGCGAGTCTACGACACTTGTTGGTTTTGTGACATTTTTTTGGAATTAAACCTCTACAATAGCGGTGCCCGGCGTATAAAATCCTAGCGATT